TGGCCCAGGATTGGACATTGTTTCGTTCTGCTGTGCATGGGGTCGCTATGAGTCGGTTCCGACTCGATGGCACCTGACAACAACAACCTAAAGGTTGGTGGTTGGAACCCATCCAGGTGCTGCAGAAGAAACGCCTGGCAATCTGCTTCCCTAAACATGACAGCCGAGAAAACTCTAGGCAGCAGTTCTTACTCTGTAGTATATAGGGGTTGTTATGAGTCTGAATCAACTCTGCACCACGGGTTTTGGGTTTATCCATTGTAAATATTCACTGGGTTAACTCACAGAACTCACTCACTAGGGTATGGCACTAACTCGATGACACTTCTGTTAGCACAAATAGAAGCTGAATGCCACAGAATTTCAGAATCCCAGGACAGTGTTTAAATCCAAGAACTTGAAAACGCCAAATCTAATTCGTACCCACTTGTAATCAGGAAAGGCGCCCTGATGGAACAGGGTGTTAAGCATTGGGCTGCTAAGTGCAAGGTCAGCGTGGGTCAGCTGCTCAGCAGGAAAAAGATGAGGCTGCTTCTAGGAAAGGTTGACAGTCTCAGAAACCCTAGAGAGCAGCAGTTCTACACTTTCCTACTGCAGCTGTACAATTGGGATCATCTCTTGACAGTGTGGGTTTTACAAGACTGAAAAGGCCTCATCCAGCCCCTGTTTCGAGAGCTTCCTAGCCTAGACTTGGGATGCCTTTTGCTTTGTTTTTCTTTCCTTTTTTGGTGAAGTTTATATTAAGATAATTGTAGATTTTAAAGAAAGAATAGAGAGCGACCCCTAGAACACTTGGCCTATTTTCCCCAATATTAACAGTTTGCAATCTTGGAATGGGTTTTGAAGGATGTCAAGGAGCCCAAGTTATTTGTAAAACTGGGCTATGGATTTTTCTTCAGATTTTCAAAGGCCAAAAACCTGTTAGCCGTTTTACAAATGGGGAAATTGAGGCTCTCACGAGCAAGGGCAAGGGAATTACCTGAGGAGAGGGGTGGTCTTGGGAGGGGTATTGGGGTAAAAGTGTGAGCCTGATCCCTTCCCTCTAGGAGTCACAGGCCTCTTGGCTCGATGCCGTGGTGCCCCATTTGGCCGAAGTCTTGCAGCTGGAAGACACGCCCAGCATCCAGGTGGAGGTGGGGGTGTTGGTGAGAGACTACCCGGACATCAGGTGAGAGCCCGACTGGAGGCTGTCCCTCT